GCCACTTTTCTTTGAAAAATTGAAGCACCGCATCTCTACTTGTAAACCAATTTCAGTCGTTATTATTGCAATTAAAGCTTAAACAAATTCAAATGTCAGTTATTAAAATAAAACATTGCATATGCAAATATGGGGCATCCAAGGTTGGGGTTTCGTGCAGTTATGCAGTTGTTTCACTTCTTAAATGATTTGACATGCACTTTAAAACTTTGTTCTATGCGTTGATTTAGTTCATGAGCCCCAAATTTGAAATATGAAGACTTAAATGTACATAAATAATGTAAACCAAATACTAAAATAAATAGAACAAGTACGCCAGCCAATTGCATCAAACCGTAATCCTATTTGTCCAATTCCACTTGTAGCAAGCAAAGAAGAAAAAGATAACGCTGAATGATAAATGTAATTGAAGATATAAAATATTGTAGAAGACTTTGTACTAGTGAATTTAAGAAAAAATTTTATGTGAATGAATGTAGCTACTCATATAATTTTGAGTCTTGTGTCCTCGGTTTTATATAAGGCATGACAGAGTTGTGTTCCAATTGTGAGACGTGACAGCCATAGTTTAAAACCACCAGCAGCCTCTGGACTGGTGGTGGCTACCAACGGAAGGCAAGAGTTCGAACCTTGTCTCCCACCAATTGTCACAATTAAATGTGGTCTTATTTAAAAAATTTAGGCGGGTGTGTAGTGCACTTGTCCGATTTGGTGGTGGTTCAGTTCCCTTCGAATTATTCCAAATCCTCTTCAAGCCCTTCCTCTCCTTATAGTGTAGGAAGCTATCGTATTGACAAAAAAAAAAAAGAAAAAAGACAGCCATAGGTTAAGACATCAGGATCATGGACTTTTGCGGTTAGCAATGCAACCCGCAGGATAGACTTCCTGTTAACCAGCTAAACTCTCAAGAGCAAGGCACTTTCCTTGCTGTTGCATGGAACTTCTAAGGGCCTATTATGTTGTGCCATGTCGATTGAACAGGTCTATGGTCTCAAGTTAGTTAGTTAACTAGTTAGTGTTGCTATTAGAATATTTTAAGAGACGGACCAGTTTAGAAATTTCTTGAGAGAGGAGGCTGTGCTCCTTCGCTGAAAGATGAGTGGCAGCAGAATTTTGGGTGTAAAACATTTAAAAATATGACTTTAGGGACTCAAGTGATAAATGAGAAAACCACTAATCTGACATTTTAAGTTAATTTAATCATCTTCTGGTAGCAGCAAGAATGGGTTTTTTGCTCCGAACCAAAGATCCATTTTTTTCGTGCTTCATATTCTTTTCCACGTAGCTTTCAACTTTCAACTACATATGCAAAGACAAATGACAACTTTCCATAACAAAAGCAAAAGCTTTAAATCATTGTGTTGGCATATTAAATCAAAACTCAAAATTAGAAATTTTCATATTATTATTTAGTAATATTTTAGTCAAGTTAGGGTTTTAGTAATTCTATTAGAGTCAAATTATGGCAGTTTTATTGTTTAGAAATCAGTATCTTATTAGAAAATTTCTTGTAGTCTAAGACTTGTTCATCAAATCATCCAATCTATAAATAGAGAGTCATATTATTGTGTTTAGTTGAAAAGAGTGAACGAATGGTAGTTTTGTTTTTATGATGTGATTAATAGATTATTATTAGTATTATTCCTCTTCTCTCACACATATTATTATGTGTGTTAATTATCTCTCCATATACATTGATTTTATGAAATATATCTCCCATATATTTTTGTTAGAATTTTTGGGTTCTACACATTGGAAAAAGAGGGTAAAAACTAGCGTTATTTTGTCATGGAAGTCAGAAGGTGAACTTCCAACGCTTGTGAGCGAAACTTCGGAGCACTTGCAGTTTAAAATGGTCAAATCATGCAACATCTTATGAAGAAAAAAAGTAGTTGTATGCCTTTATTACTTAATGCACTACATTTGTAAGATAGGTGACCAGTACTTTTCATGCATTAGAATCATATAACTGGATGGCATATTCTGGCATTTTGGATTATCATTTTCATTTGGATTCCTACAAATAACAGTGACAGCTTCGTTTGGTATTTGACTTCCAGCGTATTTTAGTTTTCTTGATCATCTACAATATATTATCCGGTTTACTTTGGATTCATTATTGCAAGTCCAAGTGTTCTAAGGTTAAGAGTATGCTCATTGCCGGCCATAGGACTTTCTTTATTATCTTTGTAAACTCCTCTGCAACTTCTAAATAAAAGACACTTGTATATGGTTTAACACTTATGGCCCTCCTACAAATGGAATCTAAAGTTTTATTATTATAATTCCCTTATGATTTTATTAAAATTAGAAAATGGTAGGATTGTACAATCAGTTATGGCAATTACACGAGATGTGTTCCAAAAGTGCATATGATAATATCACAATATCTATTTAATCCCTTATGGTTTGCGTAAATATTCATTTTACTCTCTATGATTTTGCATTTATTCATGTAATTCTCCCAGTAGTTTTATATAAGATGATTAAGTCGTGGTTTGATTTAACATTTAATTAGAGGCACTACTAGTATTTTAACTAACGATGTCGCATAGACTATTCCATCAAGTTTCTATTTTACATGAAACTATAGGGGATGAAGTGGATATTTTAAAACGTTAGGAGAGTTATGTGATAATAAATGAAACTACAAGGGGTTATTTATAATTTAACCTTTTTTGTTCTTGGCCTGGTTGCCCAAGTCGTTTTGTTTTTCAATGGCTTTCGTCTTCCAACAAAACTACTGTACACCTTTTTTTCTTTTTGGTCAGTAAGAACTTGTTAACACTGAAGACAAAGAACAACATACAAGAGAAAGCTCAAGTGCAACTCTAAAAGGACAAAACCAACAAATTAAGGTAATACCATAAATAATCTGCTCAACTCTTCTCGCTTTGCTCTGTTCATTTTCTTCTTACGAATGTTTTCTGTTCCTTCTTTCAGGAGAAATGGATGCTGCTGCTATATCATTTGGAAGTTCTGCTTTATCTGCTTTCCTTCAAGTGGCGCTTGACAGAGTGGCTTCACGTGAGTTCCTGAATCTGTTTGGGGAACGAAAGCATGATGATAAAATTTTGAACAAGCTAAAGAGGAATCTGTGGTTGGCCCAGGCAGTGCTGAATGATGCTGAAAGTAAGCAGGCTGGATATGATGAGAAGTGGATGGATGAGCTTCAAGATGCAGTTTATGACGCAGATGACTTGCTGGATCAGATAAGCACGGAAGCTTTAAAAGTAAGAGTGGAGCATGAGCAAAAAAGTATGATCAACCAGGTAAGCACTTGCACATCATATTTGAGTAATGAGTTCCTTCAGGATATTACGCCTAAGATAGCAGAACTAGTTGATTTACTAGAGGAACTTGTACAAAAGTTAAAAATCCTAGGAACAGTAAAGATTGAGGTGAATAAACAGTCTCATAGAGATTGTTCAATTTCTTCAATTGATGAAAGTGGTGTATATGGTAGAGATGATGATAAAGAGAAGATGATTAAAATACTTTTGTGTGATGATAGACGGGGAAAAGATAATACTGTGATCCCAATTGTTGGGATGGGTGGGATTGGGAAAACCACTGTTGCACAGCTGGTTTGCAATGATAAGCGTGTGAAGGTACATTTTGACGTTATAGCTTGGGTCTGCGTGTCTGAGGAGCACGACGTTATTAAGATAACAAAATCACTGCTTGAGGGATTAGGATCACTGTGTGAATCTATGGAAACCTTGAGCTCCCTTCAGGTAAAGTTGCAGCAAAGTCTAATCGGGAAGAAGTTCCTTTTTGTTCTGGATGATGTATGGAACAGTAGCTACAGTGACTGGGAGATGCTGAAGAGTCCTTTCAGTAGTGGGAAACAAGGGAGCAAGATCATAGTGACAACACGTGATGAAAGAGTTGCACTAATGATTCGTAATGGGCCTATTCATTTTTTGGATTTGATATCAGACGAAGATTGCTGGTCTTTGTTTGAGAAGCATGCATTCAGGAATGAAGATTCCATGAGAAATCAAGAACTTGAGGTGATAGGTAAGGAGATAGTAAAGAAGTGCAAAGGACTGCCTTTGGCTGCTAAAGTTGCTGGAGGACTCTTGGGATCAAAAGGGACATTTAAAGAGTGGGAGGACATCTTCAATAGTGATGAATGGTGTCAGTCCAATACCAAAGATGGCATCCTACCTGCCTTGAGGTTGAGCTACATTCATATGCACTCGCATTTGAAAAGGTGCTTTGCTTACTGTGCATTATTTCACAAAGATTACAAATTCAAAAAGGAAGAACTAATTCTACTGTGGATGGCCAACGATCTTTTGGAGCACCCTGGAAATAATAAAAGGATTGAAGATGTAGGTGATGAGTACTTCTGTGAATTAAGGCAGAGAGCATTTTTTCAAAAGTCAAGTGATGATAGTTTCTACATGCATGATCTCATCAATGATTTGGCAAACTCTGTTTCAGGGAAGTATTATGTCAGGCTAGAAGATCATCACCAGCAACAGAGCCTAGTAAATAAAGTAAGACATTTCTCGTATACTTGCAGCTTTTGGGATGTATACGAGAAATTCAAGCAGTTGAGGCAGGCCACACATTTGAGGACATTCCTTCCAATACGGAAGGATAAGCTATACATCCGTCCTATCAGTAAAAAATTTTTGCATGAAATAGTGCCCAATTTGAGCTCTTTAAGGGTGCTGTCTTTGGCTGGTTATTCACTCCCTTATTTGCCTGATTCAATTCAGCGTTTGAAACAACTGCGACTCCTAAATCTCTCTCTCACAAATATAGAAAATCTACCTGATTGGGTATGTACCTTCTATAATCTGCAGACCTTGTTGCTTTCAGACTGTAAGAATCTGGAGGAGTTGCCTGATGATATGGGAAAATTAATCAACTTGCGCCACCTTGATATTACAGGAACTCCATTGAAAAAATTGCCAGCACAAATTGGTGAACTGAAATGTCTTCAAGTCCTGACGACTTTTGTTTGTAACAAGGATCCTGGCCTAATGATTGAAGATCTAGGCAAACTTTGTAATCTTCGTGGGAAATTAACTGTTTCTGGGCTAGAAAATGCTGGTAATGGGCTTGATGCTACATTGGCCAATATGAAAGGAAAAAAGCATCTTGAAGATCTGTCGCTAGAATGGAATGGCACTGCTGATGATTCTCAAGAGGCAATAGATATTCTTCAAAAGCTACAACCTAGTTCAAGAATAAAACGTCTTGAAGTCAAAGGATATGGAGGGACAAGATTTCCGGACTGGCTTGCAGACCAGTCATTCCACAACGTCGTATCAGTGATCCTCTCCAGATGTTCAAATTGCTTTTGCTTACCAGCTCTCGGGCAGCTGCCTTCTTTGAAGTTTCTCACAATTGCCGATATGGGTAAAATTTCAATAATCGACATGCAGTTTTATGGGAATGGTTCTGTCTTTGAAATATATCAATCTCTCCAAATATTGAGAATTGAAGAAATGCCTGAATGGAAGGACTGGCTTGTGCCCAGAAAGGGTGTGTTTTGTGGCCTTCAAGAGCTCCACATAATTAATTGCCCTAAGTTGGTTGGTGATCTTCCCAAGCAGCTTTTGTCATTGAGAGAATTTGAGCTTTCTGGATGCCCAGGTCTTGTACTTTCAGATGGTCGATTCAGTATGTTTAATTCCTTGGATCTCTATTCTCTCAAGATATTGAAAATCTTCAATATGCCCAGTTTGGAGGACTTCACATCTGAGCTCAAAAAGTTAACTGGTCTTGAAGACTTTGAGATTGGGAATTGTCCAAGATTGACATCTATTTGGTCCATGCCCCTTGACATGGGGCGCCTGCCAGCTAGCTTGAAAACCCTTAAAATATCTGGATGTCCGCAATTGCAGTTCCTTCCAAAGGATTGCTTCTTTGGGTCCCTCGAGCAATTAAGGATAAGAGAGGCTGGTGCTGGTGACACGCTGAAGGACCTCTCACTTGGTTTGCTACAGAAGATTCGTGATCTTGAAATTCAAGACTGTGAAGGCTTGGAGTCGTTGTCATTTGAACACGGGAGTGAAAATCTTGCATCACTTGGTTCCATTTTATTATGGGGCTGTGGAAATCTGAGGTCTTTCCTGCAAGAAGGATTGCCTGCTGCAAACCTAACGTGGATAATGCTCTATGGCTGCAAGAAACTCAAGTTACTGCCAAAAGGGATGCGATCGCTCCTCCCATCTCTTCGACTTTTGTACATGTGGAATTGTCCCGAAATTGAATGCTTCCCAGAAGAGGGTTTGCCTTTCAGCCTGGAAACCCTTGAAATCTACAACTGCGAAATACTGATGAGCAGAAGAAGGGAGTGGAATCTGCAGACCCTTCCCTCCCTCAGAGAACTCATGATTGGTGAAACCCATGAGCAGTTGTTTCCTGATGATTGGTTGCTGCCTTCAACTCTCAGAGTTCTTCGCATATATTTTCTTCACAATCTGGAAGCACTGAATTATAAGGGCCTTAAACAGCTGATATCTCTTGAAACTCTGTGCATTTGGGGATGCCATCACCTGCAGTCGCTGCCTAAAGAGGGGCTTCCAAGATCTCTCTCGCAACTCATAGTCTATGACTGTCCATTGTTAAAACCCCATTTAGATTGCGCAACTGGCCAAGACTGGCGCAAGGTTGCACACATCTCCTGTTTAATGGTGGATGGTGAATTTGTCCCGTGATAGAGTCAGATCATGCTGGATGCTTACTTTGTAGTATATATGCCTTCGATTTACAAATTGAATCCATTTTGTAACTTCTTTTCACTGCTATTGTTGAAGCATGATAAGCAAAAGGTTATGTTGTTTAATCCTGTTTGCTAGCTTTCACACCTCAGGGTCTTGTTAGTTTGTAATATTCAATTTTGTGCACGTAGCATAATCTTCATTAAAATTTTAATTTTATTTTCACGTGTCATGTATCTAAGCTTGCTCATCTAAAAAAATCCTAGGTATGAGAAATGTTAATCCACTTGCTTGGTAAAAAAAAAGAGAAATGTTAATCCACTCTTTTTGTGGGCAAAACTATAAATAATAGGAAATAAGCTTGCACAAAAGAGTTCCGCAAGAAACTTCAAACACATCAGAACACCCACTAGCTTGGCATACAAAGTCTAGGGAGAAGTTTGGTAGAAAAGATAATAGCTAAGACTAAAAAAGCACCAGAATTTCCCCTACTCATGACCAAGTCCTACTTTTCCTTCGTTCTGCAGACATTCTTCCAGGAAGAAATAGTTTTCCTTTTACATTTATTCCAAATTATAGTCCATTTTTCAATTGAAAAATATAGTTAACTTATAACTTCTCTGAAACACCCTTATTTAATATACTTTATGATCAATGAGTATAATCTACTTTATTCATTAATTATTTGGATTCATGTCTTGAATGGTGCGACTTTTCATAGTATTGTTGTTACAGTGATTAGTCATACTCCTAATATTAATACAATGGTATTTTAGAAAAATAGTATGCTAGATTTACTTTTTCAACAAATTAACTAATTTTTCTTAAATTATGTGAAAAAAAAATCAAGATTATCAAAATGAAATAGAGGGAGTACTTAAATTCAAAATGTCTAATTATTTGGGTTTCAACATTAACCACCACACTAAGGCGTCATCCACCAACCTTCTAACTTGATTCACAAAATTACTATTGGAGTAACAATATGTGCTCAGCCATTGAATTCCTGCCTGCCAATCTACCAACATTTATTACATATATTATCTATTATGTATAACCAATTATCTATTTCTATTACCTGTTAATGGTTGATGGTAAATTTGTCCCACGATCGATTTTGGTATGTGGGGTTTTAAACCATGGACTTACTCATATCAACACGCAAAAAATGGATTTAGGTTTAGATGCATAAATTTGGGCCAAGTGCTTATTGGTAGATTAATACGTCTCATCTACATTTTAGTCTTCAAACCTGTCACCACTCGAATCTAAGGGCTGGTCCAAATAACTTCTGAACTAAAGCCACATGTTCAAAATGATTAATCCAAGTTATTGTCACCACTCGAATCTAAGGGCCGGTCCAAATAACTTCTGAACTATAACTTCTGAACTAAAGCCACGTGTTCAAAATGATTAATCCAAGTTATTGTCACCACTCGAATCTAAGGGCTGGTCCAAATAACTTCTGAACTAAAGCCACGTGTCAATAGCCCATGGCTCCAAGCTATAATACCTTTCCTTTCTTTCTCTCACCTCGGATCCAGGACAGGGGCCCCTCACAGTGACCCCCTCTCAAGGATTTTGAGTCCTTGTAATACCTGTCATAATCCAAGCGCCTCTGACTTTAATATCAACTGTCATGACATGGACCCAAATATTGGGTCGAATAACTTGAGAGGTGAAACCATGGGTCAAATTATTTAACCCAAATTTTTCAATAGTCCATAACCCAAACTATTAACTCATTCCTTTCCTTCTGGCCCTTCCGGTGTGGGATAGGGGCCTCACAAAAACCTTCTTAGAAAAAAAAAGGACCAGCGAAGTAAGAAGAAAGAAAGAAGGAAAGCGGGTATGCCCTTCCAAAATTTAAATTCCCACACATATATTTTTAGAAATCAAACGTTGTCTCCCCAAGATTTTAAAAATTCTTTTATATCCTCTTAAGATAGTAAAAATTTCACTTATACCCTTAAACAATTGGCTTTACACCCCAAAGGTTTTTACAAAAATGCTTGATTACTCCTTAGAATTATACAACTTTAACAGTCTTGGCCCAGCAAATCTTCGTGTTCAGGTTCTGGCAGTGACTCTAGTCAAGATTTTGTTCAATGGATGAAGAACTAACAAAACACATAGCTAGCGCATGCTGTTTTGCAATACGACAGATTTCTTGCACAAGAATAGTGTAGCACATAAGGTGTGATAATCATGAAATTATGTGATTAAATATTTTATTAAACAAAGGTTTGTAAAACTTGATTTTATGTCAATTTCTCAGAAGCTACAGTTTTTGATGAAAAGAAAGATGCAACTGCTCCATTTTCTTCATGCCTTTGTAGGATGTTGCAAAGGAGGACAGAAACTCGTATTTGGTAGAGAACCACTGCATACTGGATTCCCAGTTAAGCTGCAATACAGAAAATTGCAGAAAGAGGCTGAGAAGGGGAAAGAGGATGGAATTATATCATCCAAATTAACTAGGTAAGTAGAAGCAGGGGCGGAGCCATGTGTCTTTGAGGGTTGGTAATTTTCCCCCTCAATTTTTAAAAAATTACATCATAGACTCGAATATTTATTGAATCTTTCATTTTGCACCTTATTGGCCCCCTTCCCCTCCCCCCCCCCCTCACCTCGCCCCCTCCCCTCCACATTTCTTTTTTAAGTTTTAGAATATTCTCTTCTCCATATGGAAATTTTGTAATACTTAATTTTAAACAAAAGCGATGGATCTTTTTTACATCAAACATTGATGGCACCTTTTGGGAGGAAAGAACAGCAACTATATGAGCATGTACTTTTTTAATGGTACTTTTTCTAACTTAGACTGATTTTTTTACCAAAATCATATAACCTTAGAAGAGGTTAGTATAATTTTGTAAACTTCAAGGGAGGTCAGTGAAATTGTTAAAAATCTCAAGAGAGGTTTCTGAAATTATCCCTTAAATGAATTGTTCGTCAAGCACCTGCAGGAGATGTTTTAGATAATTAGAATAAAAATTTGAAAAAAAAAAAAACAAAAACTGATTGCGGTCGATATACTCACACAACTAAGAATTGAGGCAAAGTGAAAACGCTCTTGGGTACCTCTCCACAGAGTGGTCCATTGTGGATAAACCTGAGTGTCATGTTAAAGCAGGTGGCAATGCTAGCAGACGATAGTCTTCCTGTCATAGCAATTTTTATTTAAATACTAATATTATCCTTAATTAGTCAACCCCATATATTCTCATTGTACTTGTTGGATCCGTTGTCCACTAATTACTCTTTTCATTCTCCCTCTAATTAATTGATTGGGTTGCTTTCTTCTTCTTTCTCTTTAATTTATTTATTTATTATTTTCACAATTCACTGATTTGGTTTTGAGTTTTTTTTATCAAATCTTTTCTTATATTGTAACTCTTTTCCTTTAAAGTGCTCTTAGTTTTTATTTTCAAAGTTGTCTTTAAAAGTTTTTTTTTTTTTTTACAAATACAACGTGATTTAAATCAAACAACTAACAATCTAAATGAAAATAATCCAAAAAAAAAAATGTAAACACATTTTTGTTCAATATTTATGGGTGTAGAACATAATGTAATTTAAAATTACTTTAATCTAGTTATTAAAAAATATGGACACATGTTGAAGTCAAGATTCATATAATAATTGAACAACTCATGATTTACTCCTATGCAAGCAAGAAGTCACAATCTCAATCATGATTTATAATTGAACCCAATTTCATAGTAATACAAATCCTAAAAAAAAAAACTCTATACAGAATCTATAATTTGATAGTATTGGCGTGAATTGCAAAAAAAAAAAAAAAAAAAAAAAAAAGAGAACATGAAAAAATACAATATTACTATAGTTGCAACAAAAATTACTCAAAAGATGAGAACTTGAATCTCACTATAATTGCAACAAAATTGCATCCCAAATTTAATCAAAATTTATGATCACTCCAAAAAACTATAAGCAAAGATTATTTGATAGAAAACATAATGGAATAAAACCAAAAAGGAAAAGAAAAGAAAAGAAGCTGGAAAAAACTTTCTAATAGTGATGGAGAAATAGCAAGAGCAATGTGGAGAAGAATATTATGCAAATCTTGAACCACATACTGCGAAGGTCTCAAGAAAATGGAAAAAAAATTATAAAATAGAAAAGATGCAGAGAGATCGAAAGGTGAGAATGGGAGGGGAGGTGAAAGAGAAAAAAAAACTCATTGCCGCGTTAACAAGAAAGATGAAGAAAAAGAGTAATCAGTAAACAATGAGCCCCAATAAAATCAATGGAATGCTGACTGAGTGTAACATTAGTATTTGAATAAAAATTACTCTGGCAAGAAGATTATAGCTCTGGCGCCAACCGTTAAAGTAGTCATATATTTGATGCATTAGTACAAATTTTAGCATGTGCTATTTCTATCAACCCAACAGATTGCGATTGCGCCCCCGCCCCCCCTCCCCCCTCTCATTTCAGAGATCCCCTCTCTACCAAATCCGACACCTCCACAATAACAAAGATGATTCAACTTAGGGCCAATTTGGTTAAATTTGAACTTTTATTTTTGGTTCTTTTTTCTTTTCAATTTCAAAGTTGATGTCCAAATTTTAAGCCATGTCAATACGGCCAAATCTGGGCAGTCAACAGCCTAGGCACTCAATTCCTTCCTACAATATCATTGTACATGGATAGTGAAATGCATTATCAAGTCATGCAGTGTGCAAACTTGCATGAATTTTTATCAACTATTTAAGGCCTAAAAGAACTCTGGTACTTCCATTAGAAATTAGTTAATAATACTGGATTTTTCTAACTGGTATCCAATGATCATTCATTAACACATCACACCTAACTTACCATATTAATATACACAATCACAATTTTTCACAACCCTACATTTAGATACTTTTTTTAATTAACTACATTTTTCCAGAAAAGTAACACCTAAAACCTCTCTTAACAAGTGCCAATTGGGGGCTTGTTAGTCAAACCAAATAATGCTTACAAGA